AGATATATTGTTTTATTTGACAAATATAGAAAATCCTCTTAAAAATAGTTTGTTGACACTAAATAACGTTTTTTAACTATTGAGAGACATTAGTACAGTGTTTCTTTCAGTGGATGCAGTTATTACGTACCTTTTAATGACACATAGGTTCCACTCCAGCTAATCTTAAACCCAGACTCCATGACTGCACAGTGATACATTCCCTCGTCTTCTTGAGTCGTCGTCAAAATGGTCAGATTGCTCATATTTTCAGAAATGTTAGCATCGAATAATGAAGAAGAGAACTCTGTTTCAAATAGAGGTTTTGAATAACTCATCAGTGTCACCATTAATTTCAGCCTTTCCCCGGCGCTCTGCTTGTACCAGAAGACTCTCTGGTTTTTGATATCAGGTGAAACACATGTTAAAGTCACAGGTTCCCCAAGTCCAACTGTGGTCAACGGAGGAAGCGTATCTAGATAAAAGCACAAGAGACAATAATTGAAACAATCAACAACAATTATCACGATTAGACTTCCCATGAATCACCTCTTCCTCTTACATACATGAGAAAGTATTTAGTCATTAAGTTTCATCACTCACACGCCTGATGGAGGAGAAGCAGTGTGATCCACAGCACCATCATCTTGACACTGTCTCATGTGAGGAGGCTCCTCAGTTACTTTGTAAGTGACGATGGTGACGAGGTCATCAAAGTCACTCCTGCACACGCACCTGATTGGTTATCTCAACATGCAATCAAAGAGCATTTCCTACCACACAGGTCTCTGCCTGTTTCTTTTTTTTTCATAAGTACCGGCAGCAAATGACACGAGACAGAACTGACAGAGTCACGACGGTAGAGACAACAAACAACAACGGCGGTATAACCAGATTGGAGATTAGACAAGAAATTAGACAAAACAAATTGTATTTCTATTTAATCCCACTTTTTCACAATAAACTATGTCTTTCCATTTTCATATCATGTTGTGCTCCTTATTTTTTCAATGATAATTTTTGGGGCCTTTTGCCTTTTTTTCATAGGACAGCTGAGGAAAGACAGGAAATGCTGGGAGGAGAGAGTGAGGGATGACATGAAGCAAAGGGCCGAGGCTGGACTCAAACCCACGGCCGCTGTGATGAGAGCTATTGCCTCTGTTCATGGGGCGTACAACACAAACACTAGGCTATCAAGCGCCCCCATGTTGTGCTACTTTATTAGAGTTTGAGGCGATTATTTAAGTGTAAATTTGTCCTCAAGTTTTGAAATGTTTTCTACACATTATAAACTTGTTTTGCACTTCCCAGCCGACGGAGATTTGTTCTTGATTGTGCTTTAAATATCAGAATCAGAGGCGTGTCTAAGGGCAGAGACATAGAAATATCATTGGCCACCTCAAAAATCCTTAAATATTTGCCCTGTCAAGGGCGGGAATTATGTTTAAAGCAATCGTTAGGTTTTTATTTTTACAAGGCTAGTAGTTTTCTTTACAAATCAGTGTAGCATACTTTCTTTTGTATGTACTTTAATTGTAAATAAAAACTTTGCACATATATTTCATACGTTAGGTGCTCAGGAAGGTAAAGCACTCTGCCTTACTTGCAAAGAACTAACTGGTTAATGTATATCTGCAAGTTAGACTGTGCAGGATTGTGCATACAAATTTTGAAGTACTTAACAATTCTGACTTTGAACATAAATCTTCTTTTTGTGTAATTAAAACATTAAGATATTTTTTCTATTATCTCGTCGTATAAAGTAGATATGATTGGTGCATTAAGAAAGTTTAAATAATTTATATTTATTTGTATGTGTTTGAGCGTATGTCAAACTTAAGGCGACCCCTGCATAAGACAGTGGCAAGCTACAATATTTTGTGTTTTATGGGTCGGCCAGTTGGTTTTGTTGGTGGGCTAGTTGGTTTTGTGGGCGGGTAACTAGCTTTTGTTGGTGGGCCAGTTGGTTTTGTGGTTGGGTCAGTTGGTTTTGTGGTTGGGCGAGATGGTTTTTTGGGTAGGCCAGTTGGTTTTGTTGGTGGGCAGGTTGATTTTGTGGTTGGGCGAGATGGTTTTTTGGGTAGGCTAGTTGGTTTTGTGGTGGGCAGTTGTTTTGTTGGTGGTCAGTGGGTTTTGTGGGTGGGCCAGTTGGTTTTGTTGGTGGGCCAGTTGGTTTTGTGGGTCGGCTAGTTGGTTTTGTGGGTTGGCCAGTTGGTTTTGTGGGTCGGCTAGTTGGTGTTGTGGGTGGGCCAGTTGGTTTTGAGGGTGTGCCAGTTGTTTTTTTTTGGTGGGTCAGTTGATTTTGTTGGTAGGCTAGTTTGTTTTTGGGTGGGTCAGTTGGTTTTGTTGGTGGGCTAGTTTGTTTTGTTGGTGGGCCAGTTGGTTTTGTGGGTGGGCTAGTTGTTTTGTTGGTGGGCTAGTTTGTTTTGTTGGTGGGCCAGTTGGTTTTGTGGGTGGGCTAGTTGTTTTTGTTGGTGGGCTAGTTTGTTTTGTTGGTGGGCCAGTTGGTTTTGTTGGTGGGCTAGTTTGTTTTGTTGGTGGGCTAGTTTGTTTTGTGGGTGGGCCAGTTGGTTTTGTTGGTGGGCTAGTTTGTTTTGTTGGTGGGCCAGTTGGTTTTGTGGGTGGGCTAGTTGTTTTTTTGGGTGGGTCAGTTGGTTTTGTTGGTGGGCTAGTTGTTTTTCTTGGGTGGGTCACTAGCTTTTGTGGGTTGCCCAGTTGGTTTTGAGGGCTGGCGAGTGAGTGTTGTGGGTGGGTTAGGGGTTAGTTGATTTTGTTGGTGGGCGAGATAGTTTTTGGAAAATGCCCCAACTGTGACATCTTTTCACACCTTCACAGGTTTGAATCACCACATGGGAAATGGGGTGACTTCTCAGCCCCCAGCTGAGGAATATCAAATCATCAGAAGACTTGCAATGAGCCTTATTACCCAGATTTCAAAGAATGCGCAGAAGGTTCATGGAATCTATGGCAAAGGATATAGAGCGGTTTGATCCAGATAACTGCTGCATCGATGAGTACCTCGGAGAGATCAACCTGTGCCTCTGTGATTTACCTGATGCATCCACACGAGAAAAACTCAGGCTGATCTGGAAGACAACTTCCAGGAGTGTCCATGACATCATGACTACCCTGCGACGAAAAGGACATCAACGTACGTCTTCCCACTCGAATGGAGAACACATCAACGCCACTCTTGCCGTAAGGGACTGTCGCCGCCATCAAAACTCATCTGCATCTGTGTGCATTGATTGACTTGATGTGGCTTTGTTAAATAAACTCTTTTATAATTTAAAGAGCACTTGTTTGTGATTGCTGGTGTATTTGCATTGTGATACAAGCTGTGTGCGAAGGCTTGTGTACGGATTCCACGCCTTCAATTTATTAAATAAAGATAATTAATTATTAATTATATTAGTAATTAATTAAATAATTTGAGACTGATGTTGGGGATATTTGGTTATTTGTTCTCTGATCTCAGAGTGGTGCCCCGAATCAATTAAACTTGGTTAATAATATTTTTTAATTTATATTCATAATTAATTTAGGATAAGTATTAATATTACAACCAAATTTGACTATATAAAACTCCAACTGTATTAAATACCATCATTCTGATATTTAAAGCCTTTTTTTAAAAACGTGGTGCAAATTCGCCATAGACTGACAGTTCCTGGAAAAACAAAGAGTGGGACCAAATTGCAGATACGAAAACTAAAGATTTAATTTTTACAAAAAGGCAAAATGCAAATACTAAACTTATTCTGCAAAGGTACAAACAAAGTCCATCAAAATCCGAACACAGCGAACTAAAACACAGAAGTTCACAAAGACCATTCGAGGCTCAGGGACACAAGGAAGGAAATGACGTATGACGAATTGACCAGGAAGTGTAAGACTTGAGGTCGTATAACCTTTTCTAGTCTTCTGACTACAGATGGTGCGTTCAATTTGATCTAGGAAGTCGGAAACTCCGAGTTACTGATACGTCATCAGGAACGCCCCTCTGAAGTCTGAATTCCAACTTTGACACTCGTTTAAAATACAAAATACAAAAAAGTGGGGAGCAGGTGGGGCAGTGGCAGTGGTTAGTGCGCGTGTCCCATGTATAGAGGCCATGGTCCTCCAAGCGGGCGGACCAGGCTCGATTCCGAACCTGTGGCTTCTTTCCCGCATGTCATACCCTACTCTCTCTCTTCTTGATTTCCACCAGGACCAGGCTTTCACCTCATGAGTGCTTGTTTACTGCAGATCTTTTCAGTATTTTAAATAATAGAGGATTTAACTTTAATTTAATCCACATTTCAACATCTTTTTTTAACAAAATAATCATGAAAAAAAATCACAAGCAGTATAAAAGAAAATACAGAATGTTTAACCTGCAATCAGATGAGACCTGTCAGCATGCAATAATATCAAGGACTGTATCAGCAAGAAGATTTACTTATCACACACACACACACACACACACGGAATGATCTGATCTTCCACAAGTTATTGAAACATATGTTTATTTATTTACAGAGTTTAAGCTTCAGATCATCTTCAAATTAAACATTAAATCATTTTATAACAACCTCTGCCGTCTTTTAACCCTGCGACCTCTTGAACAGTTTGAGGCTGCACCAAGCGGTATCCTCTGGTGTTAAAAAATGAAGCTGATGCTGAAGTATAAAATCCTGCAGTTCCTGGAGTGTCCACTAGAGGCTGGCTGCAGGAACACAGGAAGTCACATACACACCCATTCTAAAAAGCCTGTTTTTACAGCAGAGATGAACATGTTTACAGCCTGGTTCAAAAAACCAAATAGGTGTGATTAGCTCATGTCTCCATGGACACACACTGTACGGGGGGTGAATGTTTTGATGACTCATCAGTTTTGATTTGATGAAGGATAAGAGTTATTCACAATAAGGCGTGTAGCTGACCTGATTGACAGGTGGGCGCGGTGTAACGGTTTGTCAGGAGGTTTAAAACCCGCCTCAGCTCCAGCTCTCAGCCTGTCGTTAGGTTGACTGAAAGTTAGACTGAGACAGCATTTCCAGCATGGAGACCGCCATCGATGGGACTCCAGCGCCCCCTGCAGGAACAGACGGGTGACATCCCTCCGTGCTTTGTGAAGTAACATTTACAGTCTATGTAATGTACACTGAAGACAAACAAGTAAAAACACTGTAAAAAACAATCTAAACAGCGTCTCTCGACCTCCTGCAACCCAGCACAGGACGTGTGGGAGTAGAGAACAAATAAGAAGGTGCAACCCCTAATTAAGAGTACATTCATCTATTTGGATCTACCACAGAAAATACTCTGCTGTCTACTTTTAGGAAGAAGTGTGTCTTTAAAATGTTGCACATTGTGAATCAGAATGCTTTATAAAATGTTGAGAACAATCAAACAGGCCATTACACCCTTTGAATCTTAAGACGACTGTTATGTAGACCATGCAGAACTAAGTGCTAAAAAGCAGACCCTATTGAATCACTGATCCATCTCAAAAGCCTTCACAGCGGCGTAGATCCTCTCTTTCTCCGCTGCTTTTGCTCCTTTCTTTGATTTCATCACGGTAAAGACGACGGCAGAATAAACCTGATCTCTCTGTAACAACACAGTGAAGGAGATGAGAACAATCAACATGAATATAAAGTCAGAAAGTAGTTTTATAAACTTTAATCTTACCTTTAAACTCTCCAACATCTGTCTTCTCCAAACATCACAGTTTTCTCCCAAAGCATCAGATGCTGAAATTAGGAGAGAGACAAAAAAAAGATTAGGAAACATTTGAATCAAACATTATTTTATCAAAATGAAACAAGAGTAATCTTTATTACCGTTGTTGTTTGTCTTGATGGCATGAATAAGGAAGGCTATAACGATGAGCGTGAGGGCCAAGGCAGCACAGAGCAGAAAAGTAACTGTGGTTTCCTTCAGTGAAAACTTCCCTGAAACAGAATTAGAAGAAAACGTCCTGATTACAAGATTTTAAAATTAAATTGTTAAATGCAATTTATCCATGAAGCCATAATTAGGCACTTGAATCTGTTTTACTGATACTGTTATCTTCAACGTCCACTTTGGTCCCATCTCCAAATAAAAGGCGTCCACATGTGTCCACAGCACAGTAGTAAGTCCCAGCATCAGAGGAGCTGATGTTCTTAGAGAAGTGATGAACACAGCTTTTCTGAGAGGCAGATCTCTCCTCACATCCATCACGTCTGTTTCCAGCAGTGTAGATGATGTCTGGACGAGATTCATGTGATCCGGCTCTGAACCACAACACGCTGTGACCTCCGGGACACGTTTTACTGTCCGGGTCAGAGAGGACTGAACACTGCAGAGACATCAAGTCTCCTGGACGGAGCTGATCAGAGACTGTCGGCTCCTGAACGACTCTCAGCTCTGTTGTCCTCTCAGTGTTTCCTGCATGAAACCAACAGACCAGGAGGTCAAAACAGAAAAACGTTGTTTCATGTAGAAAAAAAAAGGTCTGCTCTGATGGCATAGAGCTGACTTTATACCAGAATATTTTCAAATCTGATCTAATTATAAAAAAGCTGAGAGACCACAGACATGAGGACAGTCTCGACTCATTTTTCATTTCATAATCCTCTGACACACGAGACGATTCAGCGAGACCATGAGACCACACACCTGCTGTTTGAAGTAATAAAGTAACGGAAACAACAAGCCTCGAATTGGGCCTCTGCCTTTACGCTTCATTTCAGCTGCTGTCTCTTTAAGGTCCCCCTCCCCAAGTGCCCACTCTCTTCTGATTGGCCAGCTCTCTATAAACTTCTAGGGGCAGAACACTGCAGGGCTGCAAGGGGAGGGCTGTTCTCCATTGCTTGGAGAAGAGAGTAAATGTAAGAGGTTTCAGCGGCTTATGTAGATGCTTGATCTGAAACTTTACCCATGTTTACTTTGGGCATCCAGCATTGTAACACTAATGTGAGTTTAAAATGAGGATCAGCAGAAAAGGTTGACTGTACTCAAACTCGGCAGATTGGCACTGAAATGGAGTAAATGTGGAGCTGGTTTATCCGAGTTATGACCACTCGAACATCGATGGAACTCCAGTTAAGACAAATGAGTATATTTCACATACAGAATGGTTTTAACAAACTATAAAAATATTGTAAAGCTACATTTAGCACATTTATTATCTCTCTGCTGATCCTGTCATGTGCACATTGTTAGTATTCTCAAATCAGGTTTTGTGTTATTAAAGGGTTAAAGTTCGGAAACTGGATTTCATATTTGATATTTATGAACAGGGCTGCAGCTGCTGAAGGTGATATTGGATGTCAATATAAGATAATTAGGGGCAGATTTTTTCACATCTATATAGCACAGATTTAGATCAGCGTCTTCTGAACGTGTAAAACGTGTAAAAATATATCACATGGTTACTTTGACGACCAAATAAGTTCCGCTCCATTCAGTTTTGCTGATCCACTCAGTGACCGCACAGTGATACATTCCCTCGTCCTCTTCACTCGTTCTCAGGATGGTCAGGTTGTTGGAGTCGTGGTCATATTTGACCTCAAATCTTGACTCTGAGAACTCTGGTGAGAAGATGGGTTTTATAGCTTTCCGCACAGTCACCATTAACGTCAGAGTATCCCGTTGCTCTGCTTGTACCAGCTCAGTTCTCGGTGGCTGATCTCGATTTTGGGCAGAGCACATTTTAAGGTCGCAGGTTCACCGAGTTGAACCGTGGTCACTGGAACATGTGTGCCTGGATGAATCAAAACACATAGAATTAAATGCAGAGAACGATGTGTATTCTTGCTGATGGTTCCAGTTGGCGTGCTGAGAATGAGAAAACGATTACTTACATCCTCGCTGAAAAAGAAGCAGAGTAACCCAAAACAGCTTCATCTTGACTCGGTCTCTTCTTTGATAATGTGTTGGTTCATCAGCAAGTGAAGGAAATGAAGCTCATGTGTCAAACCAGTCAAATGGATCTGATTGGTTACCACAGAATACATACAAAAAGTGAACATCCTGTCATGTAGGTGTCAGCCTGGTCTTGGCGAAGCATATTACAGCTCTTACATCATTTTTAGCCAAAGACGAGCGATTGTGACCTTTGCACACTTTCCTTCCCTTGGTGATTGCTTCTTCCTTTGAAGCAGCAGTTGCTGTTTCCAGTTCTCATCTGTGATACTTCACATCTTTTACATATTGGAAGATAAACAGGGTGGCTTATTTAAAGAACAGGATTCTTAAATCGTTATCCTTCAGAGGTCTTAAAAGTCAGGCTGAACTAATGCTCCCTTTTAGACTGACCTTACATGAACCAGAGCTAATGAGCATTTGCATTTGGTGCGCTCCCTGCATAGCAGTGTGTCTGACATCTCTCCACTAGTGCATGTCCACAGGTCCTGTTTGTGCATGTGTGTCATTTAGGCCTATGTTTGTCTCTCAATAACAGAGTGTAAACACCAGAATTTACCTCAGGGAAGAATAAAGTATATATCTTCAAATTCAAACTTTTCATCCACAAGGCCCAGTTGTTTAAAGCAACAATATGTAGGAAATTAGTTGGTCCATTTTGGCACCGACCAAAGGTCGTTAACTGCACATAGTGCTGTTAAACGCACAGTATGTAAAATCCGCCACCAGGGGGCTCTCAATCAAAACAATAAGAAAAGATAATGTCGAAGCCGGCGGGGAATCATGGGAATGATTCTCTCTGCTACTCCCCTTCCCTCCCCCTGGTGAAAATGAACTCTGTGTTGATCGTAGTAAACCGACCTGAAAAGAGAATATGTTTTTCCAATGATGTATCTGAGTTTAATTTACATGACGTTTTTATCACTGCAGCACATACAGCAACAGTACGACAGCTTTCAGTAGCAGCTCCCGCTAGCTTATGCAGCGGTCTTTGGCGTAACATCTGGTGGTTCCTTGACAACGATAAACATTTCGTGTCTGTCATGGCGGTCGCCTAAAAGACACGGACCATGTCAACTATAATTACAGATTCCCTGGCTTTGATAACTTTTGGAAAAATTTGAGGTAATGCAAGTACTCAACAATAAAATGTATATAACATGGGTTTAGTTAATCTTTAATTAATCAACATATTTTAATGTAAACATTTGTGACAAATATGTGTAGACGTGGGCGATGGAAGAAGGTAACATATTAACACTTAGTATTAACCTCTGTGAACACATCTCAGTGAAACAAGCTGTCATGGACACGAGCTCTCTATGCTGTGGGTCTATTGCTGAAAACAAAACAGATATTTTGAATCATTGGGTTTCATTTTCCCAACAAAAATGTAAATGAATGCAGTAAAACACGTCTTTAAGTTATTCAAAAAGGAAGCCTATTCTCATCTTTCTCCTGCAAATCAAATATTCCCCCCAAAGAGTGCGGACAAAAAACGGCACAAGCAGTCCATAGCGAAGTCGTAAATAGTTTTTTTAGAGTTCATTTCCCCTCGACAATCCTGACGTGGGCATAGATGCTCTCTTTCTCCTCGGTTTTACATCTCTTGTTCGTGCTCTGCCAGATTTCCTGCTCGTGAAGGTTGGTGCGGAATAAATCAACGAGTCCTCATCCACCTTAAATAATTAAAAGAGGATTGTTAGGGGATAGCAGCGTTGACAATTTACATGACATCTTCTCTCGGCTTTACTTACCTGCTGATTCTGCTGATCACCACTGGCTGTTTCTGCTCGTCCTGCAGAGCGACGTCAGCTGTATCATGAAATAAAAACACAGACTGAGTTTCGTCTTTAATCGTTTAATTGATTGATGTACTAGGGACTCTGCTTACCATTGCAACAACCACAAGATGCATTCTTGAGCTTTCTTATCGAATAAAT